GAACGGCGAGCTTACGTCAGTCGACCTTCAGAGAATGTTACATGACACGTGAGTAGTAATTGCACAAATATCGTCATCAAAATAATGTCGGTTGTATATGTCTTTTAGGGCAAAACGCAACGGTTGAGACTGTAGAAAGATTTGGAATTTATTGCATTTGTCAGGTATGGCTTCTCTTGGTACTCTGCTTTTTATCTACTAGTATTTTTTTCGTTATGTTCGTGTTTCTATGCATAGCTAAACTGTCCGCCAAGTAACAATACAAGTAGGCTTGTTTCTGTTTATATTAATACCCGACAAAAGTACTAGTACCCTCCCCACCAGGCCTCACTGCAAATTTGTGTGGAGTACCAACTCAAGATAAATATAATAAGTAGTGACGATTTCTCTACCAGCCTAAACAGTTTATAAAAAAAAAAGAACAAATCGAAAGCTAAGAAGAAATGGTTTTCGGAGACTTGTCAAACTGATGGGCGAAACCTTAGTCAGCTAGGTAAGCTGCTGTCCAAAAATCCCTGAGATCCTTTTATTAGAGGACAATATTTCAAATATAAAAAAGAATATACAAGATTGAATCGAGAAACTAAACTAGACCACAAAAACATTTTTCAACAATCTAGGCCTGGGTAGTCCATGGTGGTTAGCGACAAAACTCTGGCTGCCGAAGCTCCAAGACCCAAGAACTCAGTACACTCGTACGTCGAGTGCAGATTCAAAAATTCCGCAAAAAGCCAGCATGTGCCGGCTTGTCGTATACGTCGCTATATACTGCTTCAAATTCACAATACCAGCTTTGCATTTCTGTGGTTAAGTTGCATTTCATTTTTGGCCGGAATTTTTTTTTATTCGCCCGCGCGCACTAGTTTGGGGGTCTTCAGAGGATGTCATCCATAAAATTAAGTCGCTGTTTTTCCTGTATTAGTGAACGTTTTTCCTTGAATGTACGGACCCTTTTGTTTACATTCCTGATCTTATCTAGTCCGTGTCTGTTTGTATTTTTTTGCAAAAAAAAGAAGCTTGGCACGTTGTGTTTGTTTCTTGGGGCTTCAGTTTAAAACACAGTAAATTATATCGAACACCCGCTCGCGCTAGTGTGTAACGATACATTCAAGCAAAGGTCACTCAAAATCACTCCAAACTTGCTCCAAACAATGTGCCCGTCGCCCGGTCGCGGCATCGTAAATTTTGTAACAATAGCGGGGGCCGCTCGCGGGCGCTCTGTATTTATGTAAATCAAGGGGTAATCGGCATATAGCTTATATGTGTCAATTGTTTTTTCACACGAGTCGAACGTTGCTGAATAATGTCCTTGCTCTATGCAAATGATGTCGTAATTTTCTCGGAAACAGAGAAAGGACTTCAATGTGCCATTGACTAAAACACTTTCTGTGCAAAATGGAAATCCCAAGTTAACCTGAAAAACACCGAAGTTGTATTTTTTAACAAAACAGGGCGCATATACAGAAATACAAGATTTTATAGACATCTGAAACCAAGGAGGTTGCTGAAACCTGTATACACAATGGAACGTTATTCACTTTCGCAGCCTACAAAAAACTGCATTTCGGCGATTTCATACTCCACTGCACACGGAAATCAAAGTTAGCAATAACTACAAATTTATATCTAAAGTAGCATGTGCATTACTTATTATCTAGTAATAGGGCCGGACAAACCCCTCGGGCTCAACTCCCCCGTAGCGGTAATTTAGATAGGCGGGGGAAGGGTTCTTGGCTGCCGAGGGAAAACGGCTAACGGCCCAATACTAGTTTGGCATCCATGGTATTTTAGGTTAGGCGTGGTTGAACAAAAGCTACTGGATTCGATAAGCTATTGAATGATATATTCTGATATATTCTTTTCGTATTTCTGTAGGTTCGAGTTGGACGTCAGCCTATCGGTGATTAAGAAGCACCGATATGCCCTTGGCTGGGTTAAATCTGGGCCTCGGTACTGTCAGGCTATTCGCGAAGACAACAAGGGTATACGGCTTGAGTGGTGTAAATCGATGAGAGATAGCGGCGATACATTTGATGACGTAATCTTTACAGGTCAGTATGCGTTTTGTCCTTCGTTCTGGGCATGCTAACAGTTTTCTGATGAAATAGTTCGTTCCCTATTGCAATTTTGTACTACAAGTTCATTTGCAAGGGTGATTGGCATTTTGCGACTATAATTCGTAAAGGTGGAAGACAATTATCACCTCTCGCCTGTTTATTGAAGTGCCACTTTTCACACGTCTTTATTCAAATGCTACCTTGCCGAAAAGATTTATATTTTTTTTCTTCTTTCTTTCTATTTTGTTCAGATGAGTCTCTAATCATGTTGGATACCCACGCGAGGCTTTGCTTCCGGAACAGATGGCACAAGGTGCTGAAGGACGAATTGAAGCCAAGAGTTAAGCATCCAGTGAAGGTACATATATTTCGTTACAGTTTACTTTCGCACCACCGTGTTGGCGTATTTTAGCTTACTCTCTTAGTCTCTATAGACATAAGTTGTTCACGATTTGATTGAAGAATAATAGGCACCCACAGTAATCGCTTTACGGCGGCCGGCCCCTGCCGGGAGGGGCAACTACAGGCCGAGGACGGCAGAGTTTGCGTTACACAGACTATCAATTCGCCTGCTCTCCTTTCATTTCTTTCGCAGGAAAGCAAACATATGATGTATTTTTTCTTTCTTTTTCTAGATCGAAAATCTTTGGCATGAGTTAAAACACAACCTGCGGAAGTATGTGAAACCCAGGAACCGGGCACAGCTGGTCGAAGGGATTGAGCAGTTCTGGTCGCGTGTTGACGTGGAGAAGTGCCAGCGATACATCCGCCACATACATAAAGTGATACCTAGAGTAATAGAGATGGATGGAGGAGCTTCTGGATTCTAAGGCTACTAGCTGACAAGACAAACCTATCTTCTGAATCACTTCGATGACTGCTATAAGTAGTAAAAAGCATTCACAGATTAAATTGAGAGCAAAATGTGCACATGAAGTTAATGACGCCAATATCTACTAGTTAATTAGATGTGTTGTGGCGGGGCGCTCGAAAGGGGGCATTCCTGATTTTTAGGAACGACAAACAAAAGCATGAAATAACAGGGCGATAGTTAAAAGTAATGTTTATTAGTTACGACAATATTTTCTAGGCATGGCGAGTACGCTTGATTCTCTACAATTTCCACAAAAAATATTACGGCCCCGCGCGGTCCTGAAGCCCCTTGATTGCAAATGAGATTTAGTACGCATAGATTTGGTAATGTTGTGGGCGAGAAGACGAAGGGCGCAGAGTTTAAAGTATAAAGTACTAGTATTCATTTGTTTGACAAACATCACTAGATGACAAATAAAAATTGGTAGAAATGAGGAAATGTGTACATTGTGTTAGTGCATATATCTGAATTAGAATGAATTCTTTGACGCTATGACATGGCTGTCACCGATTCGGCAACGTAAACATCGTAAACATGGCATTGTCATTTAATGATTAATTGCACGGGCACACACTTTTGCTAATGTACGATTGTCGAGCAATGAAGTTCATTTATTTATGTTATACTTTTGAAAATAAAACACTCTAAAACTGCAAAACCAATGTTCTTGACATGAATGAATGTATTATATGATACAGTCTACAACCAAGCTCCTTGCTACAACAGACCCTTCCCCTCTGCAGAAAAAAAGAACATTTATAGAACTAGCTAAATATTGATCTGCAGACGACAGCTGGATTCTACTATAGTTTTGTTTTGGCGCGTTATCCATTTAATATTCAATAGCCAGAGAAGTTGGTGGGGGTAGCGACAAAACAAACGACCATATATAAAAAGCTAACGATCATTCCCCCACAACCTCTGCATGGAGAGTAGATAAAAGCACTACATTGTGCCGACAGATCGACGAGTCTCGGGAACGGAGTACTAGCAGTATCACGTGCAGTATCACAGTGTAGCAGTATCAAGCTTTCAAATCTTGTCGTGGGCGGGTTCCCGTCTGTGCGCTATGATTGGCGAGCCGCGGCGTGCCGACACATGTAGCTGCCTGTCTGCTGCCTTCGTGTCGTTGCCATGGGAACCACCCAACAGCGTGGCAGGCGAAGCCTATCAAATTCCTGATCGGCATAAACAAAGGCCCAGGGCCGCGGCGTAAAGAACTGTTGCTTTGCAACGTTCTCTTATCTGTATTATATAGTTGATCTCTCTTCGTGCGTCACCCGTGGTTACATGGAGAAAAAAAAAGAAGAAGAACATCTCGAGTGGTGACACGGCCACGGCACCGACAACATCAAAAGCAGCAGCGGCCGGTCGGGCTCCGCACGGTCGGACACAAAGCATTGTCGTAACAAGGTTATATTATTTTTCTGTTGTTGAATTTGCTCTAAAATTAAGCCACCAAATTTTCCGATATCCATAAATATTTGTTCTACTACTAGTATATTTTCACGCAATAGAATCGAACACGTGCCGCTTCGCCGGTTCGTAAAAAAAAAAAAAACAAGAAGGCGCCAGCGCTTTCCCGGATCGATAAACCGCCCGCGTAAGACTTCAGTCTCACACCGAAGTTTGGGTTGCGGGAGACGATCAACGTACCGTAGAAAGCCTGCGGGATCTCCCGCAAACTCCCGCGGGACATCCCGCAAACTCCCGCGTGATCTCCCGCAAACTCCCGCGTGATCTCCCGCAAACTCCCGCGTGATCTCCCGCAAACTCCCGCGTGATTTCCCGCGGGACTTGATGCTTATCCCGAGATCTGTACTGTAGTTTTCTTGTTTTCTGTCTTATCGCCATGCTTTTTGTATATTATTAATAATAAGAAGACCACTTGTCTAAGACTACTTTTCCTTAGTCCCATGGGTCTTAAACAAGTTTGACTGACAGTGTGTAGGTTGATATTTTGTAGTTACTGTAACAGTTACAGTAGTGATGTTTCAATTGTGTTTGAACCAATCATCTTGTCAGGAGTACTACAAATTTTGACGTTGAATTTCTCTTCTGTGTTCCAGGAAAATGCTGCAGGCATTGTCTCTTCCTGACATCTACCTGCACCTGCCAGGCTCCATGGTGACACCTGCGGGACAGCTGCACCCGGTCGTGCTGCTCCTCACACCGCTGGTGAGAGCTGCTAGTCATTGCTTTCCTCAAGTCAATCCTAACTGTCCATCACAATTAGCAGTTCAACCAAATTTATTTATCTATTTCATCATAAGACGGCTGGGTAGCCCCATTCAGCTTGCATTACCTGTTTTCCAGAGGCCCCAGCAAAATTACACTACAAGACATTGTTACATACAGTAAGACAAGAGTGGACAACATACAGTAAACATAAAAGTCTGATGCGTCAAAACAGAGGCATAGTCCTATACTCAAAGTCCTAGCCGTTCAAAGGTCAAAAACACGGAATGGATCCGGAGGTCAGAGGTCAGGTTTCATGCGACATACAATGTACGTTTCAAGCCAGCTTTAAACTGAGATAGAGTTAGTACATGTCTTAGGTCTGCTGGAAATATACAGGCAATTAGTGGATGAATGAAAGAAAGAGTGTGTTGGTAAATGTTAGACATCCAGGTAATAAGATACGCCAAAAATCAGTTACTCAAGCAACTGGATATATTTCCAAAATCATTATCCAGTTGCTTGAGTAAATGCTTTTTTGGTGAGAGTGGCTACATTTCCATCAAAAATTTGCTTTTTGTATGTTTTTATTTTTTGTATTATTTTCTACAATTTGGTGGGCAGGGCTATATGGGATCAGTCTATTTGGCAAGAAGATTATGTTCCACAGTCATGCAATTCATTGTCCAATTCACTGGCAGACATACTAGCTTAGAACACTGCTGTAAACCCTTTTCCATCGACCTTATAGCAAGGACAAAGTTTTAACATCAGTTTTTTTCTGAAACAATGACGTTAAAGACTTGGTTTGTTTCCTTTCCAGGTGCTGTTTGTTGTGAGTGTCGCTGACGACACCCAACAACAGGCTTTGTCCATCCTGGACATCGAGGTCAAAAGGTCATCACATGACCCGGGGTCAATCAAGGTCAAGGTCAGCCCACAGAAGGCACCAACTGCCAGAGAGGTCAGTCTTTACTTAACAGTTGCTGTTACAGATATCAGTCCTCCTTCACAAAATTTACTGGCAAGTTTCTACCAACTTGCAAGAAGGAAAAAATAATTATAACTTTTTTTAATTCTAAAATATCATGCTTTCATTATAGTATGGAAATATCATAAGATAAACCATTTTAGTCTTAGGAAGATGTGAAAGAGTTCTTGGTTTTTTGAATTATTAAATGTTAACTTGAATGTTCATTTGGTTCAGAATGAACATCTTACATCAACATGGGTTGCCCTATTTTAGTTGCAATCATTTTGAACCTTTATCCTAGAATTGTGAATGGCAGAAGTATTAAATGTGTAATACTGATCCTTTAGCCTCTACTGGGCTTTGGGAGGTGGCTGGAAAGAGTAGAAACTGACCAAGTAGAGAGATAACATACCAGGGGAGTTGATCTGCTTGAGAGTACAGTTTTTTTTTGGGGGGGGGGGGGCGGCAAACTGTACTCTCTGTCTTGTTATCTCTCTATTTGGCCAATTTCTACTTCTTGCCTTCCAAAGCCTGGTAGAGGCTACATTTGTACTGATCCCAAGCATTTGAACATTTTCTCACTAAATGACTTTTCTACAGAAAGAAGAACAAAAGGAGAGAGTTTCAGAGTTCATCGACATGACACTGGGCCTCCCTAACCCCAGCCCTAGCAACGCCGAATCAGACACACCTAGCGACGTGTCTGCCATGCCCACTCCTGACTTCCCTACAACCTGCTACAAGTTTGAACTGAGGGAACAGTACAGGGACCTGTTTGTGTCCATGTTTCAACAGGCCAAGAAAAAGGCTCAAAGGAAGGGCTTCTACTGAAAACTTTTTTTTTTCATGCTAAGCTTTGTGTACAATCTTGCAGTTTGAAAGGGAAAACATTTCAGAAACATGAGATTTTTTGTGACAAAAGATTAAAAACTAGAGAACAGTATACAGGGACCTGTTTGTGTCCCTGTTCCAACAGGCCAAGAAAAAGGCTCAAAGGAAGGGCTTCTACTGAAAACTTTTTTTTTTCATGCTAAGCTTTGTGTACAATCTTGCAGTTTGAAAGGGAAAACATTTCAGAAACATGAGATTTTTTGTGACAAAAGATTAAAAACTAGAGAACAGTACAGGGACCTGTTTGTGTCCATGTTCCAACAGGCCAAGAAAAAGGCTCAAAGGAAGGGCTTCTACTGAAAACGTTTTTTTCTTGCTTTGTGAGAATAAAAGAAACCATCAACTTTGAAAGGGAAAAATATCTGTCAGAAACATAATTATATAAGATTTCTTGTTTGAAAGAAAATGATTCATTTTGCATAGTCACCATAGTCTTCCTTGAAGTTTTATAATTCTGATGCAATACAAATGCTTGCCTGAAACAAGTGACTGGCCTGTTCCTATAACTGTCAAATAAACCACCGAGTGAGTGAAGTGAAACAGGAGGTTTATGAGCTGGTTAGTGAATGTAATATATTGAATTTCTGCATTTCATGTACATTGTATGTCTGCTACTTTCTAGGACAGATTATGTGTACAAGGTGGGTGGTTATGTCCAATATTGATAGATTACTAGTATCTTTGGAGATGGAAGGATATACTACAATAGATGAATATTATGCCACACGTGCATGTGTCAGAATGTGCATTGTACATCAAGGTAAATATTTTTACTATTAGAAGGTTTAATACAAACATTGTAATTGAGATATGTGCACTGAACATCTGCTTTATAAATTGATGTAAAATATTTTGTCCCATGTCTAGCTTAATATTTAAACCCTGTATAAAAAGCCATGACTATCAAAAGCTGCACAATACTTGTCAAATAGACATTTAGAAGCTACTTGCACAGATATTAACTACAATACAGTAACTGTTGTATTTACATGTATGATTCGTTAAGATGTGATACAAAATTTAAAGAGTGAATCATTCTCAAAGAAATATTTAGTGGTTGCTCTAGATGATCGACATGTGCATACTGTTAAATTTCTATTGAAAAGTCGACATGAATGACTTGCAATAGTACTGTATATTACATACAAAGAGACGTATTTAACATATTGCCAAGAGACCAAAGTGCCTTAATATATGTATTCTTGCTATTTGTAAGAACTGATGTCTGTGCTATATAATAAAAAATTGTCGGTAAAAAAGTGACTCTGTGCTCTCTTGTAAGGGTAAATTGACTGTAAATCCTGCCTTTATATAAATGTTATGTTATATCATGTTATATATATATATATATATATATATATATATATATATATATATATATATATATATGTGTGTGTGTGTGTGTGTGTGTATTTATAAATATGTATATATACATATGTATATACTATAGATATATGTACTTATAAATATATACATATATCTCTATATATGTACATATGTATATATGTACAAATATATAGATATATGTACATATATATGCATATATGTGTGTGTGTTTACATATATATATGTATATACGTATACATATAAATGTATATACGTAAACATATACGTATATACGTATAGGTATATACGTAAACATGTTAATACGTAAACGTATACGTATATACATATACGTATATACATATATACGTATATACATATATACATATACGTTTATACGTGTATACATATACGTATATACGTATACGTATATTTTTATGTACGTATATGTATGTGTACGTATACGTATTGGTATATGTACGTATACGTATTTACGAATACGTATACGTAGATACGTATACGTATAAGCGTGTATACGTATACATATCTACGTATATGTATATACGTATACATATATATATGTATATACGTTAACGTATACGTATATGTATATACGTGTACGTATACGTATACGTACATATACGTATACCTACATATACATATACGCACATATGTATATACGTATATGTATAAACATATGCGGATACGCATATGTACGTATACGTATATGTACATAATTTACGTATATAGATAAACGTATGTACGTGTATACATATACGTATACGTATATGTTGGTTAGTATCCTTCGTAATAAGATAATAAAATCGTTCTTCTTCTACACATATAAGTGCCTGGCACCGAAACGGGCCGTCATTGGTCGTCATAATTAGATTTTCAACTTCACATTAGTTATGTACGGCAGTTCTGCGCACCTGTGTAAAAACACAGTTTGGTATGGTCCCTTCAAAATGGCGATTTCGTACGACGGGAATACTCTGGGCTGATTTTTTCACAACTTTCTAGGTACTTTTAGACATTTTCGTTGATAGAATGTCTTCGTAAGTGTGCAGCAGAATGTCTGGGAGTTTGTGCTGTGGATTTGTGCCGTTCTGTTGATGTTTTGAGGAGAACATGCGGATTTCGTGACCTGGCGAATTTTGGAGAAGACAAAAATGGCGAGACATTTGGGAAGAGTAAGGTTAGCGTGGTATGGAGATGACTTCACTTATTGTTGCAGGTAAACCAGTACATTGTTTGGCTGACATTATTCCTTAGCAACTAGTACGAACATGTCAACATATTCCGTAAGAAATTAACTATTTCTGTATTAGGCAGCGACCGTTCTTAATTTTACAAAGACTTAGAAAAGTCCCTCGAATTGCCGCGTTTTCAACAACATTTTCAATGTGTGGTGCGCTTATAAAGTGTTCAATGTATGTGCATGCATATGTCTCTTTAGTCAGTTGTTCAGCGTTTTAAGGTTATATTTGTTGAAAGAAATTGTGTATCGACCAAACATTTTTCTTTATCTCCACGTGGTTCAAAACACCTGTTGGAATGTGGTCGTGTACATAATCAGTTATTTTTCCCGCTAAGAATTTGCGTAAACAAGATGGGGGCCTCAAAGCTTCAGGACGCCGAAATGAATACGATACAAAACGGTTAAAAACTAGTTATGTCGAGGTGACCATACTTTCGTTCTTTATTATCCTTTGCAATGTATTATGTATAATTTAAAAGCTTGTTCGTTTCCAGTTTAGAGCAATTCAGTAAATAGTAATGACCAAGCCCAAGTATTTCTGGCGCAAACACTACAGTTGATTATGCTTGAAGGTAGCAATTCCTGATTTCAAAACATTTTGCGCCGAGTGTTTTCGTATTCCCCATAAAGCATATTCCACTAACCTACAGTGGGTGTCACTGGAAGACAGAAGAAAAATGTTAAGATAGACTATGCATGATGTACAAAATGACTAATAAACTGGAAATAACGTTAACCATGCCTTCAAGTACCAGAGTTATCAACCAAGGATCGAGGTGTTCAAGAATTCATTCTTTCCTGGAACTATCGCAGAGTGGAATTCGCTGTCACCAAGTACAGTAGGGGCATTGTCATTAGATAGCTTTAAACAATGTCTAGAGTTAGATGTTCAAGGGTTAGGTGTAACAAGTCAGTCGGTGTAATGTAGCCAGCTGCCGCCGCGTCGCGTGCCTGCGAAGCTGGTGTGTCACGCCGAAAGGCGGTTATACCGGCTATACAGATACAGATTATGTACAGTTTTCGTCGAGGTATGTGCTTGTATTAAGAAAAAAGTAAAGATATTATATATAAATTTAAGGTGTGTGTGTGCTTTGCTAGTTTTTAATTTGAGAGAAGTGTTCAACTTATAATGTATGTATAGTTAGATGATGGCTGATGCAGTAGTGCTAACTTTTGTCTGAACCTGACAAGACAGATTGGACCAATAATTTGAAGACCGAAGAGGAATATCAGGTGAGAAAAATCTGAATTGTGCATTTTACCTACAGTTAATTTGAGTTGAGACAAGTGTGTAACTTCAAATGTCTGCCTATAGTTAGGTGATGACTGATGCAGTAGTGAGGATTTACACTGTCTGAACCTGACGAGGCAGATTGGACCAGATCAGATGATTTGAAGACTCAAGAGGAATATCAGGTGAGAAAAATTCCAATTCTTCATTTTACCCACTATTTACTTGGTATTATTTGAAACAAGTGTAAAACGTTTAATGTCTGCATAGTTAGATGGCTACCGACTTATATGAGTGAGGACTACTGTCTGAACCTGACGAGAGAAGATTGGATCACATGATTTAAAGACCCAAGAGGAATATCAGGTAAGAAAAATCACAATTCTGCATTTTACCTACAGCTATTTGATGTTATTTGAGACAAGTGTGTAACTTCTAATGTCCGTATAGTTAGGTGGCTGCTGACTGATGCAGTAGTGGTGAATTCCTCGTAAACCTGGCAAGTTTAGACCAGACCAGGTGATTTGAAGACCGACGATGGGTCTCAGGTAAGAAAAATCTGAATTTTGCATTCAACCTACTATTTACTTTGTTATTTGAGACGCTGTATTGAAGACTACTGTCTGGACCTGACAAGAGAAGATTGGACCAGATCGGGTGATTTAGAGACACAAGAGCAAGATGACAACAACAACATTCACAGGTGAGATAATGATTACTTTTGAAGATCTGTTTGACTCTAGCACTCTCTCTTATGTCTTACACTTCATAAAAATAACTCACATGTAGCAAAACATCTTTCACATTAATTTTGTATTGCCTTTAACTTGAATAAATGACTAGTATATTTAGACTTCTTGAGCCCTTCTCAACATTTCTAGGAAGAGGCAAAGTAAAAGGTCGCATACAAGAGTTCATCTTTACCTGGTCGCTAGTTAGTCATTCACATACGATAGCCATTACCTGGCATCAATTGTTCTTTTATAATTATATAGGTATACTAGGGTCAGCAGTCCTGATGTTCCTGTCCAAATCAGGCTAGATGAGACAGCTGACTTTGAAGTTGAAGACAAAGTGAAGAGTTTGTACAGGTGAGACAATGCTTTCCAACTTTATATTTTTTCTGTGTGTTAAGAACTGAGAGGCAATAAGAAGCTACTTTTAACACTTTGTACATATCTAAGCAATCAATCAACCGCAAGCATCATCTAAACATTGAGATAGTTAAA